TTATGATGTGGAGCATGATGGATAGAAAACACCTTAAGTTCTCATAAAGATAAAACAAAACATACATCCTCTAGAGGATCTGTCATTTATATTTCTATTTCTAATCCCTAGAATAATGCAAATTCATAACCCACAGTTGATGTTCAACTGATGTTTGTTGAATTAAATCAACTTGATTTGGATGTCTCAGACTAACAAGAAAGGGCCTGCCAGCATCCTCAGTCCCCTGAGATCTGTCCTTAACACCGGTCTCCCTGAAAGCACTCCTCAGACACAGGCTTGGCCACTTCCACCAATCCAAACCCAACTTTCATTTCCCTGGCCTCCAAGACTCCAAAATGAAGTATGTTCTTGGATTAGGGGCCATACTTTAGTATATAATGTCTTCATGCTGATGTCCTGGAATGCATTAGTATCATTTCTATTATTTCTACCTCTGGCTCTGAGATTCCCATTTAAAAACTTATCTATCTATCTATCTACCGACCTACCTATCATCACAATATACCATATTTCTTAATGTTGGGCAACTGAGAAAAGATACAAAATCCATCTTGACCAAGAATTCCTTCCCACCAAGAGTCGGAAAACTTTCTGTCCATGTTTTTGGAGATTATCTTTTGACACTAACACTTAAATATATTTTTTAATTTAAGGGAGAAATTTAGAAGTTTAGAAATCAATAATTTTCTCACCAATTCAGTAAACCATTTTACCAATTAATCTTTTATTTTTTATTTCACACATCAGTATTTTATAGAAAAAAGAACCTCTTAATGTTAAACTAATTACAATGTTCTCTTCGGATTCTTTCCAATGTATAGACCTAAATTTTTACACAATCAGTAAATGTAATAATTTGGGTTTTAACACTTTCAAGTCTCATTTAAACATTTTCCCATATGGTTTTACATATATCAATACTATTTAATGGCTATATAACAGTCTATGATAGCAATAGCAATACATGAAAATTTACTTATCCAGTTCCCAATTACTGGGCTTTTCTTAAAACTCAAATGAATGCAATCACTAGAAATATCTTTATACAAATAGACTTTTTTTTCTTTTAAAATATTTTTCTGGGCATATGCTACTCAGAGTGAGTTAGAGCTATCAAAAGACAGATTGGTTATAGAGTTCTTATTATATTCTTCTAAATAGTTCTTCAAAAAAACTACATTAATATAATAATGCTACTGGTATGAGGATACATGCAATTAAAAATTTTTGCTAATATAATTGCATGAACTAAGTCAAAGTTGCTCTAGCTTGCATTTTTAATATTAGTAAATCTAAATACTATTTTATTTCTATCTTCTCGTTTCAACTCAATTCTTTTATAAACTTGACTAGTAAAGAGCACAAAGTCCTATGGATTTGCATTTACCTTTTAAAAAATACTGAGTACTTTATCCTTGTGCAATGCAAGTGGCTTTTACCCCATTTCTTCTTTTGTCTTCTTTCTATTTAGTATACATTTTTCATTTTTCTTAGTTGATCTCATCTACCTTGTCACTATTTTTCTTTGCCATAAAGTTTCCTTTGCAAAATTATTGGGATGAGAATTGTAGTCTTTTTATTTTTACCTTTATACTGAATATCTTAATCTGGAACAAGCTGTTATGTGTGAAGTGGATCTAATTTCTTTTTTTTACTTACATCCAGCTAATCTTTCCACCAGCAGTTATTATATATTTCTTTCCAATTGGTTTATTAGTCTTAAACTTTCTACTCAATACCATAGTGTACTTAGAAAAGATGCTTAACAGCATGTTTTAACAATCTGAAGTGCAAAACTCCCTTTTTTCCCCAAGTTAAAAAGACAAATCCTTATTTTCCTAAATTATTTATCACAATTCTGTCAAATTATATAAAGCATCCAGTTGGAACGTTAAGTGGAAGTGTAGTAAATCTACATACTAACTTCACCCTATTGCCAGTCCTTTGGACATAATTTCTTTTATATTAATTTAATCCTCATAATAATTCTGCAAAGCATTATTTCTATTTTATAGATGGTGAAATGGAAAGTAGGCATGATTTTCCCAAGATTACACAACTTGTAAGTAGTAAAGTGAGGACTCTAATTTTGGTTTTCAGATTTCCTATTTACTACCTTTTCATTATACTAGGATGCAGTTCCTGTAACCTGCTTCTATATAAGTATCTTTCTTACCTCAATATAGTTGTATAATTTTTTAAATGGCTTGTATATGTTAATACCCAAACAATTTAAGTTGTAGTTTGTCACTGTTTGAATCTAGAAATAAGATTAATTTTATTTATTTATTTATTTTTGTGGTATGCGGGCCTCTCACTGTTGTGGCCTCTCCCGCTGCGAAGCACGGGCTCCAAACGCACAGGACCAGCGTCCATGGCTCACGGGCCCAGCCGCTCCACGGCACGTGGGATCCTCCCGGACCGGGGCACAAACCCGCGTCCCCTGCATCGGCAGGCGGACTCCTAACCACTGCGCCACCAGGGAAGCCCAAGAAATAAGATTAATTTTTAAAAGTTATATATCCTGCAACTTCCTGAATTAGTTTTTTATTGTCAGCATGTTTATGATACTACAGGTTTCACTAATTTAAAAGTCATGTCAATAGAAAATATCTGTGCTTTCTTTCCTTATCTTTCTCATTTATGAATGCTTATTAATGATTTATTATAATGACAAGCTATTTCAACCATATATAAATAAAAGTAGTGCCAAGATTATTTAATTTCTGCTTGAGAAATGTTTCCTATGTTTTCCTAATAGGAATGATATTAGTTCTTGGTTTTTAGTAATTATCACAATGAGAAACCAAAAAAACCACTACCAGAGATAATTAAATAAAAAATGATGAATTTTATTAATATTTTTAAAGTTACCTGTACTTAATACTTTGCATTTTTACTATTTTGTTCTGTTGATATTGATTTAATGGTTATTCTGTTGAACACCAACCTTATAATCCTGAGTCACAGTAAATAATTATTTTTATGTTGTGTATCATTTGCTAATATTCTGCATTTGTTCAGAATGAGACCCTTTTCAAAATGTTTGACTCCTAGCATTGAGACAATATTAACCTCAAACTGCAAATATTATATCATCTTTTGATATACAGATATTATTTATATTTTGAACATTTGAAAAAGTTCACCAATAAGCCCATAAGGGTAAAATTCCAACTTGCCAGAAAATTATACTAGGTTATAATATCCTCTAATTTTTAAAATGCTTTTTATTGGTAATAACTTTTTTCATTTCCAATTTATTTGCATTCAAGTAGGAAACCAATATATTCATTTTCTTAGTTTTTAAAACCCTTATTTTATCTAATCTAATATTTTCCTGTTTCCATTATCTTTGGTTCTATCATTTTTTGCAACTTCTCATTGCCCTTCTCAAATTCTTATGAATAAAAATATTCATGATACAGAAATTAAAATTTTTTCAATAGGTCTGGATTACCTTCACCTCCATTTCACTTAACATCTTAAATTCTTTTACATTTTAATAACTAATTTTTAGGTCTATTTATTTCAGTTTTTTGATAAGTTTAAGCCTTAGAATCCACCCAATAATAGATCTGCTAGATTCAAAACATATGTATTAATACCAATTAATGACTTCTCTACTTCAGTAAGCTGAAAATTACTTAAATCTTTCTTGTTTCATTTTCCTCACATATAGAAGATCAACAAAAGACTATTCAAAGCATATTTTGGCCTAGTAACATTACTTTTTATAACACAATAATCAAAAGATACATTAAAAAGTATGATTTTGTTAAACCTTTAGACAAATTCTGCTTCAATGAGATCCATAGCTCTAAGCCATATTTATTTTTAACTAATCTTTATTTTCATATTTCTCTGACTCAATAAGCCAAGAGATGTCTGTCTACTTTGATTCACTAGCAATGCTAGACTGGTTTTCATGAGCATCTTTTCCTTCTCCTACAGTACCTACACTCTTCTAACAGTTAACGTCAGTTGAAAGATTTTGAAATCATGAAAGCCTGGATTCCAATGTTGGCTCTTCCACAAACCAGACTCAGAGAGAATTATTAAGTCTTTATTTCCTCTTTGAAAATGTATTCAATAATATCTGCCTCACAGGGTTGTTGAGAAACTGTAATTAGAGAGCACAATAAGTGCCTAGCACATAGCAAATGCTCTGTTCCAGGACAAAAACTGTAATTAAAAGGGCTTCCTATATCCTTTCCTATCCCTTCCTAAATCCTTCCTATAGGATTATCATTCTCTGTCTGAGGAATGGAAACAGTGACCTAAAGAGAAGGAAGTTTATTTCTTCTGACAGCTCCACAAGCTTCTGCTGCTAGAGTATAACCAGTTTTATGACTTCTGGTAGTTCTGGAAAAAAATGTTTTCTATCCTCTAGATAACAGCTAAGAGGCAGGAGTTGATTACGAAGGCATTTACCTCATTATTTGTGGGGTGGGACACAACCAAAGGGACATGGTAACCCTCCTTTGATTCACTCCTATCAATTGTAGTGTTATTAATTAAAGTGGTGGAGTCAACAAGATGGTATGCTTCACTTTCACTGAGAAACCTTGGGAAATCTATTTACAGATGGATTTTAAAAACCATCTGTAATCCCATGTCAAAAATGCTTCACTCAGTTTCTCCTTAGCATTTCAGAACAAGCATTCTGTAATATCTTTTCCTGGAGCAATTTATTTTTTCTTTAGCCTGAGTTACTTAGAAGTTCTTTTCTTTTAGGTGCCAGAGCAGTGCTCTTCAGAAATTTTCTGAAATATTAAACCAGAACTAATCTTTTCCCCTAGACTTTCTTTGGACTGAACCTCCCAACAATGAGCTCTTCAACTACTAAATGAACTCTGACTCTTTTTGCAATGTATAAGACTGTGGTGGCATCACTGCCTCATTGGTTACAAGAGTCAAGCAGAATTAAATTGCAAGATGTATTGTAGACATCACCTTCACAAATAAAGGATCATACTTAATATATTATCTTTATATTATAAAGAAAAGACCCACATAATTTCCTCTGTGTTTCACTATTCAGAGGTGGTAGCAACTGTAATAGCTACAAAAGTAATTAAAATATTCCTTAGATGTTATTGTTCTGTAGACAATAATAAAATCTGAAGATCAGCAGATACAATACCATCTTCCTTTAAGCACCATGGCTAATATGGGACCCTCACATATATACCCAGTACTAAAATAAAGCTAACCCTGTTTAAGATTCTGGCTCATGGAGCCCATTCTGAAACAAAAAGAAGTCCAATAACCAATAAATCAATTATTGATAGGTTAACAAATACATCCAATAACTGAAAGTCACAAAGAGAATTATAGACAACATCTGCATGCCATTCATCAAATAACCACTTCTAATTACTCATATAGGAAACTGTCCTTTAAATGAGAATATTCTGATACTGGATGAAGGCCCTCAGTAGCATTTCCAGTTTGCTTTTTTTCTAATTTTGAAGGTGCTTCTCTGAGCTTTCTAGGTTTTTGCTTCCCTCAGAGGATTCTAGTTGGGCTATTATTATAGTATTGGCTCCAGGAGGCTCTGGTTGCTTATCATCACCATCAAAGAAAACGTCTTCTGGATTTGGAGGTGGGGGGCAGAATTCTTCACTTGGAAAGATCTCCTTGAAGAGTGTTTCAGCTTGCTTGACTGCGTGTTCATTTCCTAGTCCACAGTCAGGCCCAGTGCAGACATAAACATTGGAAGGTAAGCCATTATATGAGCTTCTGCTGACTCCTGAGGAATCTCTCATGTTAAAATAAAGAGCCCACAAGAGTCTTGGCTTTGCAAGTTCTTCCTTGTCTATTTCTGTTTCAGCATATGGGGTGAATAATTTCTTCACCACTGATTCTAAGTCTTCTCTTGCTGTTTTGGAAGATGAACAGGTCAGATGTACCAGACAGGTGTCTTTCATGCACGTCATGGTTGAAGAACACAATTCAGTGACTCGAACAGCACATGCTCCTGGTTCCACTGGAGGTACTATCAAAATGGAAATCTGCTGATCTGAATCTGTCTTTAGTATAGACTGATCCGTAATGAGCACTGCCCTGGAGATCTGTTCGTACTGCACATTTAAGCATGTTTCCTCAGAAAGGTAACTATCCTCCACAATGAAATATTTAGCATTTATTCTTTGACCAAGGTGATCTATAATTGCTTTACATCTTCCAGATTCTTTGTCAACTACAAGGCATTGTACTTTATGGCGAAGACAATATATTCCACCAAAAACTGCACACATCCTGCAGAAACACTGGGGAATTTCTCCTTGGCCGTACAAGGGAAATAAAAAGGGAGTGTTGCCAAACTTTCCAAGACACTGAAGAAAGTTTTTTGTTGCTTTAAGGCCTTCTATTGTGCAAGATGACTCTGACATCATTGCAATTGAGTGTAGTACAAAATGTTGGAGGCTGGGGGTTAATTTTTTGGTTTTTAAGTACTCTGAAAATGAGCATTGCGTGAAAGCTTGGTATTCATCAGGATGTTGTTCGTAGTCTAAACAAAATGTAAGAAATTTCATTAGCATCCTCTTTTCAACCATAGTGAGCTCTTTGCTATTAAAGACATCTGCTCTGGAGCAAGGGACTTGCTCTACTTTTCCTTCACGAAATGCAAGAATCCTAGTGACATTTTTAAATTCTGCATAACGACTAACATTTGATTTGATTAAAAGATCAATTAACAGTCCTTGGGAATAAAGCAGCTTTGATACCAAATCAATATTAAACCTCCTGCCTTCTTCAACTATTTGAGAGTAAGTAATCCTGTTTCTCTTTGGTGGATCACTGTTGTCTTCCAATATAGGTTTGATTTCGTCTTTAGCACCATCTGAAACTCTGTGTTTGTAAGTTTTATATCCACAATATTCTTCTTTCACCAAGGTTTCTGCTGTATCAGTTACTTCTCCATTGTTTTCTGGAGTGCCTTTTGAGGGCACTTCATAGCTAGAAACATATAACGAGTGCATTTCTTCAGACAAGCATGCAGAATCCAGAGGTTTAATGAGGGTACTAGATGCTACCCAGGAAGGATTTTTCTGCAGATCATCAATCTCTTCAATATTGTCATCCATATCCTGATTGGCATAACAAAAAACTTCTGTGTGTTGAATGGTTTCATCCTTCTTGCGAAGAGTAATGCCTTCTTCTGTTTCATGGATCATGTCTTGCCATGCAGCAGTACTTTCTTCCCCAATGTCACTGTTTTGCTGATATTCCTTCAACCAGGAGAGCAATCCTGAAAAGCTGAAACTAGCCCAGTTTCCTCCATAGTAACTTCTTGAATCAAGATGCAGAACCCTCTGACCACTTCTGGAACATGCAGCTGCAAGGATGGATTCAGGCAAACCTGTCCCTATTACAACCACATCAAACTCTGTTGGGAGCCTGTTGTCCATCCTGGGAGGTAAAGTGTCTGGTGACAACTTCTAATGAAGGAAATGTGTATGAACATAGGCTGAGGGCTCAGATGAGGTGTGAATATGCTGTAATAAAATCTCTCCTTGTGATATTCCAGATCATCCCAGACGTACTGAAGTTGCAGGTCCTAGGTGTTTAACTGCTACCCTTTTTTAGTATTTTTTTCTTATAGCTCAGTAGCATAAAAACATGATAAAGTACATCTAATCATATCTGAGAATACTAGAATGAGTGTGTGGTGTTCACTTCTGCATTTCATCTTAGCAGTGAATGTCAAAATGTATCACATATGCATTTGTGACTGGAACTCTTCTCTGAAAGAAGAAAATTCAAGAAAGAATACAATTGTAAACAATATTAAGAGAAAAGTAATTTCATGCAACAGCAATTACAATCCAATGGAGCCCAACTTGTTTTTAGGACATGAGCCTCTACTAAAGCAAGTCATTAAATGCTTTCTCACATCTTTTCTAATTTCCTGAAAATGAACAAAAGATACAGACTCCTCCAAATCAGGTAATTCAACAATGAAGAATGGATAAAATAACATCCCACAAAAATAAAGAAGAATTAACATAATACAATTCTATAATTTTTGCTTTTAAATATCTGAATAAACGATATACAACTGCGAGATTAAATTGCAAGTAACATGTGACTCCACTGTGCTTATGGTAACAGACTATATACAATGTGCACACTGTCATGATTATGCATATTTCTGTGGCAATACGGTCTGTGGATGCTTCTAGGACAGATGAATAGAAGATTTTTCCATGTCCCACCTACCACTTGAATCTTATGGGAGCAACATGAGACTATTTCAACTGAATTAGCTATTCAGATTATTAAAAAAGAATTACAATAATACAACTAGCATTTTAAAATATTTAGGTATATGGAAGAATTGGTCTACTGAAGGGAAAATATTTTTATAAGAAATCCTTATATGAATGTACATACGCACAGGTGTGTTTTTTAGGTATACGTTAAAAAGGAAAAGTCCTGGGTCCATATGTTAAAATATCTTAACATAAAATAACACCTATTTCTAAAACCCAAGTCAATATAGGGTGACTTGCATTTTGTGAGACTCTAGCTCTGAGATCCTGAATCTCTTGTCTTCCAAGATAAAGGGCTGTCCAAACACCCTCTGCCAAGATTAACATGTTGTTTGTTGTTCTTGTTTTTCAAGGGATAGGAGGTGGTGGTGGAGAAAGTCTCTCCTGTCCAGCATCATCCTGATTATACTCCACGTGCAGAACACCTGTGTGGTGGTAGGTATGGCCAGAGATGCAACAGCCAAAGGGCTGAAAGGCATACTCACCTGGAAGTCTTTAGGCTAAAGCATTACAAACACATGCTAGGTGGCCTTTCTGTCAATCATAATTGCACAGTAAGAGTGAGTTTCTTTAGCTCTGATTTTTCCTACCACTATACTTACTGATCAGTGCATATTGGGTCTGCCTAGGCTAAGATGACTAATTATCCTAGACATCTGTAAAACAAGCTGTTGAATTGGAACTTAGATTAAATTGACTAATTCACTGAACTGACTGCTCAGTTTGAGATGGCAATCTTAATAGTCCTGCCTAGTCAAAGCCTCTGCCTCAAGAATATCAGGGATTCCACTTGCTTTCAACATTCCCTCAGAAACAAGGAACTGAGCACAGAATGAAGTGGCTGCCAGGCCTACTCACATAAGTATGTGAGTATGTTTGAGTTACTTATTCTGCTTTCTTCCAGCAGGGTGTGCAGAGGAAGACAGAACCCATGAAGGTATGTGAAGAAGTGTAACCATAGTATGTACTTATTCTCAGCTTAGAAGGGGATACAGCTGAGGGTTGGGAGTAAGAGAGAGGATATAAGCTATAAGTGCCAAAACCAGGCACCTTCTAACCTATAGGTATCCAACGAGTCCTCGTAATACAAAGCAGGACAGGACAACCTTAACACATTTAGCTCAACTACCCCGTAAAAAAGATGAGAAAACTGATGGCTGGAGAAATTAAGTGACTGGGAAAGTCCACATGATGGGTAGCCACAGGATCAAGAGTGGGACCCACTCTCACACCATCAGGCCAGTGGTCTTTCCACTTGATAGGGCAGTCTCTCCAGAAGCCTCTGGAGCAAGCAGCCACTTTTGGTATTTTAAAATGTTCTGCCCCTTCAGTACTCCATGGTTGGTTAGTTCTTACTCAGGGATAACAATGAGGGAAGCACGCTCCCTCTTTTCATCTTTAACTCTTACCTAGAAGCACAGTCTTTGGAATTTAACCCAGGCAAAGAAACTCTTAATCTTTGCTAAGAACTCTTTCAGCTCCACCATAACCCACTATCGACTTGTCTCCCAGGGCTTAAACAAGACTCAGAACCTCTTGCCCCAGAGTTTCCACCTCTAACTTAAAAACAGGTTAAAGTCATTGTTGAAAGCACTAAAGAAATGCCCAGAGAAAGAGCAGTAGTCAGGCAAAATACTGTGTGGTGAACATTTCTAGCAGTCTTAGAAAATCCCTTCTGATTGGGGTGCAGCCTAAGCAGGGATGATGAGGGAGGATAAAGGATGGAGGAGGCAAGGAGACACAGCAGGGTGGGGCCACAAGATAGAAGAGATGAGGAAGAAGGGGAATGCTGGTACTAATAAAAAACTCAATATACCCCTGTTTTCAAATTCCCAGGCACCGAGTCAGGATAGAAGCTGAATTTCCCAGCACAGAAAAAAACACTTCTTTAAGATAAGAACTTTAATGTCTGTGACCCAATTTCTGCTACTGATGACACTTTAGGGCTTGGCTTGAATTGCCCTCTTTAAAGCTTAGCCCTGCCTGAAACATTGCCTGTTAGGTATTTTAAATTAATACAAAGAGTGTAATCTATAGTGTGATCTATATCACCACCTTCACACACCTACAACCCCCTCCCAAGTTTCAAATCTTTGTATAAATGAAGTTCTCAGATAAGGGGTTATTGGGGAAGGGGTAGGGGTAGGTAGTATTAGAATATTAGAATCATTGAGACAATCAAATAAATAAAATTATGATTTCTACTGCATTTTCTTGTTTCCCTCAAAATATAAAAAAAGGAATCATAACAAATATAATAGTTGGATTTGTCACCACATAGAAGGTTGGTGAATAAGAAAATACTTTTGATAACACTACAAAGACTTTATTCTCATAAACCTGCCAAGATAAAGGCAGTAATAAATTTATCAATGGATTTCAGGATTCTTTTTTTTTAAAAGGAAATTTAAGACCTGAGAAATATACAGTTCTATTTCAAATCTTTGTACAAATGAAATTCTGGTGCACACACAAAAGGATACTTTCCTAATCTTAGAAAAATCACATCTTCAATGACACACTGGGTGGTTCATCCTTCAAAATGTCAAGTCTCAGTGAGACTTAAATCTTCCATATGGGTTAAGAGTATTGTATTCACTATCATGTTCTACTTTAATGAAATCTACTGGCTGCACAGCTAATTATTTGTTCATCTGAGTTGGGATTCTCTGGGCCATCTGCAAACTCACCTTAGATTTTGGTGTGCTGGAAACTATAAGGAGGAAATTATAGTAAAAATAGCTAATAGGGCACATGCCAATTTGCATTCTGAGGACCTGAATAAAACGATCTCACTTCCTAGGAAGCAGTCAAAGGTTTACAACCGCTAATGGGCAAATTTTTCAAAGAATTTACACATTACTACTATGTTAGGTTTCTACCTCTCACTTTAGGGAAGTAATATAGGAATTAGATCTTTCCTCATCACCCTCTCCAACTTTCACAAATCAAACACTTTTTTCCTTGAATCTCTTAACTCCACAGCCCCTCATTTCTTTCCTCAAAGTGTAAAAGCCATTGTCTCGTGCCCTGTTGAATTAATTGAGGAGATGAAAGCAGAGAAGTGAGATGAGTTGCACAGCGGCCAGAAAGGGGTATGGAGGAGGTGGGCACAGGGGAGATGGGGCTGCAGACAGGCTGGGGTTTGGGTTGGCGTGGGGCCTGGTGAGCACAGGGAGGGAGGAAGATCAGCGAGTGCTGGAGGAGGAGAGGTCGGCGGGGAAGGAGCAGAGGTGGGGGGAAGCGGGTGAGATCAGGGGGAAGGTGAGGTCACAAGGGAGGAGGTGAGATCAGAAGAATAGAGGTAGGGGGAAGTGAAGTCAGGGGAGCACCGCCGCGAGGTTGGGGTCCAGGAGCGGGAGGGGGCAGGGCCGGGGGCAGGAGGCCGCAGGAGCGGGAGGTCTAGCCCGGCCACTCACCCCACAGGCTGTTGCTGAAGCCGTCCCACACGCAGTTCGTGGCGCCCCCCACCACGCCGCCCCTCGGGCGGAACGCGAAAGCTAGCGCGGCCCGGAGGACGGAGGGTAGCAGCGTGCCGAGGCTGACGTGAAGCAGCAAGAAGCGGGCGGGGCTGCGGAGCCGCGGGAACTTGAGGTAGAGGACGAGCACCAGCAGGCTGCTGCCGACGCCCAGCAGTCCCACGGAGCCGAGCAGAAGCACGTAGGCGCCCTGGCTGACAGGCTGCGTAACCCTCGGCTGCCCAGGCCACTGACCCTCGCCGCCCTCCCAGCCGGCTCCGCCGCCGCCGCCGTTCTGCGTGACCCGGTCGGGGTAGAGCGACTTGCTGAGCATGTAGCTGCCGCCGCCGCCGCCGCCACCGCCGCCGCAGCACCAGCGCCTTGCCGCGCGCAAGCTGGGCGCCGGCGCGCTAGGTTCCGGGTGGGGCGCAGGGCGCTCCGAGGTACCCGTCACCCACTCCGGCCAATGCGCGGGCAGCTAGATGCCGCTCGGGGCCCCGTCCCCGCCCCCGGCGCGCCTCGTAACCCCGCCCCTTCCCGCCATTGTAGTCCCGCCGCGAAGAGCCTTGTAGCCCCGCCCCTTCTCGCAGTCTTAGCGGAGTGCCTGCTTTCCAGGTTCCTCTTTCCTCGACCCCTTCTCGTACCCTGGCCCCACCCGCCCAGTCAGTGAGAGCCGGGAGGCGGATCAACCACCGTGATTCCTCACTCCGCAGCTCGCCCCCACCCAGCTGGAAGCCCTCTTGGCGTGCACCATCCACCCACTCATTCAGGAACATTTATGGGCTCCTGGCCCACCACGTGCTCATGAGTGGGTTACACCGTCCTTGGCTTCTCCCTCCCCAGGAAGCTGTTACGACCCGCTGCCAAACGGAGTCGCACACTTAATGCAAACCCAGCCCACACCCCAGGCCTGCCCATATTGTCCTTCCTGCCCTCCCTGAAGTAGCAGTGGATACACCCTGTCGCTAAGGCCCTCACTGTGGCGACCCGCAGGCTGCGCTCTCAAGCTCCAGACCATATCTAGCAGGTGCCGAGGTGGTGCTATACTTGAAGCAGCACATTTCCTCTGGCCTTTTACACAGTGAAAACAGAGGGCAAGTCAAGCACAGGTCCGTGAACTGATCAGTCTTTGCAGGGCTGCGCTGCTGCCTCTGCACAGGCCCCAAAAGGGCCCGAGGGGATGCAGTCCCTAGCCAGACCTGCAGCCTTTCCTGGGCACTGCTGGCTAGCACAGGGTCTGTGCAAGGGCAAAGTAATTGCCCTCCACGGTGTGTGCCTCCTCCCATCTCCATTCAAAAGATCGGTAGAAAACGACTAGCCTCAATGAACCTCCATTACAAGTTCCTTGGTGGGTAAAATCTAATCGTCAGGGTGCATTGGGCAATAGCTGAGGGGCAGTGTGCTCCGTCCTTAAAATCTTGATTTGTCACTAAGGCTTCCAATCTGGATTTGTCTGTGAGACTGACCTACCCACTTCTTTAAAAAACTCATTTAATTTTGTATTTTAGATTTATGCAACCATTTAACAAGTTGTGTATGTTTAATGTCTACAGCATTTACTGACTAGTCTACAGTAAGGTCTCAATAAATATTAGTTGAATGAATGCAGGAGGAGTCATTTTTTCCAAAAGCATTCATTCATTCATGGGTGCTGAGTCCCTGCTCTCACAAAGCTTACATTCTGGTGGTGTTGGGAGAACAGATGATTATCAAATAAGTACATATGTAGCGTTGTGAAATGTGACATAAAGAAAAGTAAAGCAGAGAAAGGGTATTTTGGAGGGAGGGGAGAGGTTGTTATTTTGTACAGCGTGGTTACAAATAGCTTCACTGAGTACTGCAGGCACAGGGTAGATGTAATGGGGTGGGACTGTGCTTGGCATATTGGAGGAAAAACAAAGAAACCAATGTGGCTGGAGTGGAATGAGAATTATGAAATAAGGGCAGAGAAGTAGGTGAGCAGTGATTGGCCAGATAATGCAGGTTCTTGGCTATTTTAGTAAAAGGACTTTGGCTTTAGAGTAAAGTCCAGGGCAATGCCTAAGCAAGAGGAATAATATCAGTGAAGGAAAAAAAAGGGAATAAGAGGGTTTTGGCAAATGTTTAAGAATTTTGATAGATTTATTTTTATAATACAATGAACTGTTAAGGTTATTTATTATACTCGACAGAAACGGGTAATGATACTACAAATATTATTCACTTTGTCAGTAATGATATATGTTTCTATTCATTTTCAGAATTATGTAATTGTAGGATAATGCCAAAAATACTACAACTTAAAAAGCAAGTGCAGTACTGGCATAAGGACAGACTATGTAATGAATAGAGATTTCAACAAGGATGCCAAGACTACCCAGTGGGGAAAGGACATTTCAATAAATGGTGCTGGGAAAACTGGATATCCACATGCAGAAAATGAAGTTAGAACCTTACCTTATACCATATACATAAATTGACTCAAAGAGCTAAACTTAAACGCTATAACTATAGAATTCTTAGAAGAAACAAAACATCTTCATGACATTAGGTTCAGCAATGATTTCTTGGATATGACACCAAAGGCATAGGCAGCAAAAGAAAAAATAAATTGTACTTTTGTTCATCAAAATGAAAAACTTTTGTACACTATCAAGAGAGTAAAAAGACAACACACAAAATAGGAGAAAATATTTGCAAATAATATATCAGATAAGGGATTAATATCCAGAACACATAACTCATACAACACAACAACAAAAGCCAAACATCCCCAATTCAAAAATTGTCAAAGGACTTGAATAGATATTTCTACAAAGATACACATACAAATGGCTGATAAGCACTTGAAAAGATGATCTTCAGTTATTAGGGAAATGCAAATCAAAACCACACACCCACTAGGATGGCTATTATCAAAAAATAAAAACAACAACAACAAAGAAACTAAAAAGTGTTGACAAGGATGTGGAGAAGTTAGAACCCTGCTGTGCCGCTGGTGAGAATGTAAAATGGTGCAGCCACTGTGGAAACAGCTTGGCGTTCCTCAAAATGTTAAACACAGGTTTATCATATGATCCAGCAATTCTGCTCCTAGATGTATAGCCAAAAGAATTGAAAGCAGGGACAGGAACATGTATTTGTACACCAGTGTTCATAGCAGTAGTATTCACAATAACCAAAGATGGAAATAGACCAAATGTCTATCAACAGATAAATGGATAAACAAAATGTGTTATGTACATACAATGGAATATTATTCAGTCATAGAAATAAATGAAATTCTAATACATGCTACATCATAGATGAACCTTGAAAACATTATGCTAAGTGAAATAAGCTAGACACAAAAAGACAAATATTACAGATTCCTCTTATATGGGGTACCTAGAATAGGCAAATTCATAGTGACAGAGAGTAGAATAGTAGTCACCAGAGGCTGAGGGGAGGGAGGAACGGGGAGTTAGTGGTTAATGGGTACAGAGCTTCAGTTTGGGATGATGCAAAACTTCTGGAAATGGATAGTGGTGATGGTTGCACAAAATTGTGAATTACTTAATGCCACGGAATTGTACACTTAAAATGGTTGAAATGGTAAATTTTATGTGGTGTGTATTTTAGTACAATAAAAAGCTTATGCCAATTATGCCTGCATCTCACTGTCTCAAAGTAGGAGAAGTACAGTGTCTGCAAATGTAACCATTTTACTGAGTGAGCTGGACTCAGTATAGTGCAAGCAAAATGTAACTTTACTGTCTCTGGCAGTACTCATTTCAGATATATTCTTTCCACTTATTCTTCACTGCCCTTTGTTGACATTTTATCAGTTCTCAAAGCCTTTCTGCTCACTTTCAAGTAATATAAAGTCCAGAACATTGTAATAATGAAATGTTAAAACTCTTGGAAAACTCATCTGTCAACACTCCAAAACAGAGCCTGCTGTAGCCTGGAGAACTTCTGGGGATGGGGGTTGAGGAAACAACAAACTTAGCTTCTATTTCCTTGACCACTACCTTTAGATGCTGCTCTGGGTCCCTCTGAGATTTTGAGGAAAAATCTTCCTTGACTGATAAAGTTGTCATCTGATGTTGGTGCCCTCTGATTATAGCAGATTTTCAATGCTGTGTTTTTCTCTCCTGGGGTGACTTGTGGGATCTCTAGAGGACTGAGATCACTGGAGATACTTCTCCCACAATTCCCTCGACAGGGGCAATGCCTCTGTCAGCTGGCTCCTTGGGTCTCCCTCTCAGATCCTGGTTAGGGTCCCTTAGACCCTACAGGCAGTGCTAAGATGACACAGCTTGGCTCTTCTACTCAGAAGAGCCCTCTGGAAATATGCATGCATCCTTGCCCTACCAAATCCTGGATGTGGCCTGCTGTTGGAGAACTGGCCACAGACTGTCCCCTTCAGTGCCAGTTGGGTAGAAAGAAGTGGATAAAAGTTATGGTCACTTGACTACTCTAAAATTTTTCTCTAAGGAAGTGCTCACCAAGGGTCTCCTCAACCTCTTAATGAACCTGCCTCCTCTTAAGTATTTTGAAGGTGAGAATAGACTCATCTGTGAAGAATCGGTTTCTCAGTGCCTCCACTTCTCAGTCCATCCTCCTACATGGGTTGTATAGCACTTTTTCTAGAATGGGGGCATTCCTCAAGTGGAGCCTCTGGCAAGACAGAAAGAAGGCCATTTTAATACCCTCCCACTCTGGAGCATTAAATCATCACAACCCTCATATTCCAAAAAAAATCTTTGACAAAGTATGAGGGTGTGAATGGAGACAGGTTTTATCTGCCACTCTTGCTCAGAATCATTGATAACCCTTAGCCTTCTGTGTCATGCACATGTCAGCTAAGAGGACGCTTCGACCCTTACTCAACTGAGTAATCTCCTTCCAAGTGCTGGAACTCATCCTTCCCTGACATGTCTGAACTTTGATTCCTAGTGAGAAGCAGAAAAAGGCTTGAAGAAAATCTGGCCAAATATATCTGAACAATTTCTGGCCTTTGGAAACATAAGTTAGTGAATGATATTTAACTTTTTCAAAAAAGAAAATCTGGCATACCTTCAAGTTCTGAATGTCAATTCTCTTTGTGCATACAACTTCTCAGATGTGTGAGATGTAGGAATCAGTTTAATGAAAATTGGGTACCTGTCCACATTTCCCTCCCCCCAAATGCATACATTTGTTTTAAAATGGAATCTTGGGACTTCCCTGGTGGTCCAGTGGCTAAGACTCTGCAATCCTAATTCAGGGGGTCTGGGTTCGATTCCTGGTCAGGGAACTAGATCCCACATGCCGCAACTAAGAGTTTGTGTGCTGCAACTAAAGATCCTGCCTACTGCAACTAAGACCCAATGCAGCCAAATAAATAATTAATTAGTATTTTTTAAAAAATGGAATCTCATTTATAATCTTGCTCTATAAAGCAGAGTTTGGGTGACAAAGGAGTTATGGAAGAATAATCATTCAATTTCTTAAAGGAACTGGTTAGTGAAGTTATGATTAATGTATATCTATCTCTAGCTATATCTCTATCTATATATCTATATGTATTTATATCTATATATACACATATTCTCCACAGCAGTACCCATTATAGTGAAATTTTGGTACAATGGGGGCAAAGAGAGCATTTATAGATTTCCTGAGGTGGTGGGGTTGGGAATAAAATAAGTTATGTACAAAAGTTCAGAGATCAGAACAGCGTATAATCAGCAACAAAATCTGATCAAAATAGACTTCTTCTAATAGCAACACCAGAAGCAAGAAGACAGTGGAATGTTATCTTCAAAACACT